AATTTTCAAGGATTTTTCAAATCGGTCTATAAACAAAAGAAATATGATTTTTTGAAAACAGGTGCTAAATCGAGATTTTATCGCGTTTTTAAGCTTTCCTTTTTCTTTGAACCCGTATATCTTGGAGCTCTTTAATTCTATCGACTTTTAAACATTATGGGCTTGCTCCTTGGTCGATTCTCTATCGATTGGAAAAAAAAAATTGAAATATGTCCATTTTTACTAGAATTACAGTAATAAATATAGATGGAGTCCCCACGATCACAGTGTCGTCAAGAAAACCAGTGTGTATACCTAGGATTAAGAATTTTGAATTTATCTTTTATTGGCCTTTTCGGACACAAAATTTGTTCTGCAAGATTTAAAAACGTTTATCCATTAGATGCTAAAAGTTTTGACAAAAGACGAATTGTACTTTCGTGTAAGATGGTTCAAAAGAAGGTTTACAAAGACTCTCAAAGTAAAGAGATGGAAACTCTCGGAATCCGATATTTTCCGCGCAACGGCCCGAGCGTGCGATTTCACATTTCTCGTGGTTCGTCGACCGATAAAAAGCGCGCGGTCGGCGCGGCGGGCGGCGCCGTGCAGTCGCGCCTCGCGGCAGGCCACGTGGAGAGGAGCGCGGCGGCCGCGAGCGGGTACCTATATCGCACGCGCGCGGAACGCAGCTGCGTGAGTCTCTCGTCCCGTGACCGCGGCGGTGGTGAAAACGTGTAAGCAGGGCTCCGAGTCGTCGAGCGCTCGGTCGCGGCGCGACCGAAGGCGCGCCGCGCCGCGCGTTTACTGCGCGCGAAGTACGCGAGCCTCTCGTGGGCTTGACGATCGTAGCACGCAGGGCGTGGCCGCGTGCAGTTGCACCGTTCCGCGGTTATGCCGCGCCGGCAAGCGACCGCAGCTGCACGCTACGAGCTAGCCGCGCGCGCGAAAAATCGCGCCCGGCCGCAACATACCGATGCGGCGCGCGGTCGCGCGGTCGCCGCGGATTGTCGCGACGAGGAAGCGGCGATCGCGAATCCGCGGCCGCGGGAAACCGTGCGGCGCGCGCTTATAAATTCGAGGCAATTTCGACCGCAAAGGCCTTAAGAGAATTTGTTGCGTCACGATATATCCGGCGTGCTCTTGACGCTGCATCCAACAATTTTTTTTCGCAATTAGACTCGCGCGATGAAGTTGTGGCGCTCGACGATTCTGCAGGCGACAATGCCGTTCGTTCGGCACACGATTTTTAGCGACTTTTGTTCGGCGATCGATGTCTGTTACGCGACTGGAATTTCTCACGGCGATGATATGCTTCTAGCCGTTGGCGACTAACGGTAACTCCCAACCAGGTAGCGTCATAGCTTCAGCGAATTTGTCCTTAAGTTACGGAGCCAAGCGAAGCGTAACGAGAACTTGATTGCGACGATCGTTTATATACACTTATATAAAAATTGGATATTACGAGAGGTATAAATTAAAAAAAAAAACGTGCATTGCTCTCCTAAGCGAATGCCATGGCGATCTTTCACAAGATCCCGCTTCGCGATATGTCGTGATATGGAAATGTGTTAATTGATATGCTTGATTTTGCAAACGACACAATAAGCGCGGCGGAGTGGAATCGAAATAAAATATTCGCGTCGTATATAGAAATTTTAAAACTCGCGAACGCACGCTTATATTATTTACACGTTTAAAATAATGCAGGGGTGTTGAACGGAGACGAAGAACGGTATGTCCTTAATACGCAAGATACGGTCAGAATGTCTGTTACGCCATGTGCGAGCACTTATCTATACGTACACGCCAGCATCTACAAGTCATGTACCTGCCTATCTTTCTACCTACTTACTCGGCTACCTACCTATCTCTACCCACCTATCGATTTATTAAAAGCCCCAAGACTGGGCCCATGTTTTCTCCGTATAATGCAGGCGTAGGTATGAGTAGGTACCCGATAGAAGAGTCAGGCTATCGTAACATCGTAAAGAATTCTTTAACCCCTTCAAGACGTAACCCTTTGGAGGACCGTATAGATCATTCTTGATCTGCGCCTCATTGAATAATTAATCAAAAAGCGCGTCCGCGTATAAATGTAAGTTCTTAGAGCCTAGTAAAAGAAAACAGTAATTTTTGCATCTAATTTTTTATATGATATAAAAGAACAGTATTTTTTAATTTGATTTTTTTATATAATTTGATTTTTTTCTATGTAAAGGGAATGTAGGAATAATCTTGGAAAACTAAACAAAAACTCATCAAGTCTTAAGTGATTCATCGTGTGTGTGTGTGTCAGCCAAGAGTTTAGAATTATAAAGAGATGGCTCTCGAATTTGAGCTAAACGTTTAATCTTTTATGTATTAAAATCATTTATATCTTTTTTATCAAATATAGCTCTGCACACTGCCGTTAATATTTTTATTTAATATTTATCTCGAGAGTCCCTCTCTTGTTTTAACATTATAAATAAAATCTAAAGAACTGTGATGTAGTCCGAAATATAAAAAAAACTTTCAATATACGAAAATCGTCAAACGCGATAGCAAGTTAATGTTAATGGAAACTCAATATTCACAATCCGATGAACACATTATAGAGACAGTTTCACAACATTCCGCTAATGCGGCGAGTTAAACTCGCAACATAGCAAATCCGTAATTTCGCAACAGCGAAAATATCTATGACGCGACGCAATTCTTTCACGATATTATACGCAAGATTAAATTAATTTTGCCTCCATTAAGTTTGACGAGTCGAATAATTATACACAAATGAATAATAGGCCACACGGAACCGAGCATAAAAGGTCAATTAAAATAAAATAAAATCATGCGATGGTCATATTAAAAAATTACATTTTTAACATGACAATATCGCATGATTTAATTGTATTTTAATTGACCATCCTTTTATGCTCGGTTCTGTGTGGTTTATTATTCATTTGTGTATTTTGTTATTACAAATACGAGCCTATAACCATAATTAACGAACAGTTATATTTGCGTATAGCTTATAGGAACTCGTGTTCAGTCCAACGACTCGCGAAGAAATTCGCGGATAAGAAGGAGGGGACGAAGGAATCCGGCGATCGCTTTTCTTCTCTCTACGGCGCGGCGCGGCGCTCGTCGTGCAATGCTAGATGAAGTTCGCAATCGCTGCAGGATGCCGTGGAATTATCGCATCGCGGCGCGCGTGCATTCTTATAAATCATTCGCGCCAGGTCGACTTGCAAATGCACATTGCGCACAGCTCGTAATTTCGTTCGTTCTCGATACCCTTATTAGCATCTTTGCGAGGGCAAAGCGCGAGGGCCGCTTGAAGGAAATGTAAGAGTCAATTCGCGCAAGCGACTTTCTCTTCTGCATTTATCATGCGCGTTCTTACGATGCTTACGCGAATGCATTTGCGCTACAAGCGATCTCTTATACTCGCGGGATCGAACCGCGCCACGATGACGATTCACGCGGCGGTTGAGGAAAATCCGCGAATTGTGGCGCAAGAACCTGACTGGACGTCGACCGGACGACGAGCACTCGAGACATCAGAAAAGGTAAAAAGGGAAGTCTCTAGTATCATCTGTGTAAGAAGTAGATTTTGAAGCGATCTTCTCACGTTACACTATACCATTATGTCGCGAATAATGCGAGCATGAAATTTTAACATCAAACTGTATAGAAAGATATGTATATATTTGAACTTGTTAAAGTAAGTATAATATATACATAATTTAATGTTAATTTAATGTGAGAAATTGAGTAATTACACAATTTGTGTAACAAGTTACACAATACAAACGAAATAAGAGAATAACTTTTTCTATTCTGTTTGCACAAATAAATTTACTAATAAATAAATGTCTGAGTAAAAAAATTATCGCAAAAGTAGGTCGATCTTTTTCTGAAAAACTTATTTTATAAAGAATATCTTTATTGATTAACAACTTGAAGTTATTCTTTATAGAATAATATTTTTAAAGGAAGATTAGCATGATTTTGCATTAATTTTTTTTATTCATTTCGTTAAAAATGCTGCAAGTCTGATCGGAATTGTTCACAGAATCTTACTGATAATAAAATAGAAAGAAGTTACACGTATATTGTTATGATCCTCTGTCAAGATATAATGGATAGTAATTGCCGCTATCTCGACTGTGATCGTTCGTTTTGATTTTTTAACTGTATATACATTCATCGCCGCGCGCGAATAAGCTTCGTGCTGTCAATCGCTTCTAATTGAATACGGACTCACCGGCGGCGGCAGTCTGACATTTTTTTAGATCGCGGATGTACGATCGCGCTCCGTAAGTTTCAACATCTCCTGCGCAGTCTCGAAGGATTTCCACACGTGTATATAGAAATCGCACGTCTTGCAGCATGTGCACTCGTCTCGGATATACACCTCATATTTTGATTGACATTTTATGAATTTAAATTTTCAGTATATAATACGATGTATTCCGTTCTACGTTGAAATTTTAAACGGATTTCCCTTCAGGATAGTGAGAATTGAAAGAAGGCGGTTAAGAGGTGAGAAAAGGATTCTCGAATATAATTGAGGGACCAAGACTGCGAATCAAGGGTGTGAGAAAGGACGACATGCTTCTCAGAATTTCTCTCGTTCGAGAAACTTGAACTTGTTAAAATAAGTATATATATACATAATTTAATGTTAATTTAATGTGAGAAATTGAGTAATTACACGATTTGTGTAACAAGTTACACAATAAAAATGAAATAAGAATAACTTTTTCTATTCTGTTTACACAAATTAATTTACTAACAAATAAATGTCTGAGTGAAAAAACGTTCCCGTGCGAGATCGGACCGAAGTTGACCTCGTGTCCATTCACGCCCGAAATTCCTTCGCCCGCGCGAGCGCAGGCGGTCCTGCGGCGTGTTCGGAAACGCTGACGCAAGCTAGCTCACGCGTTCAGAATCACGTTCTCCGACTGGCGACTCCTTTGCGCCACATGGACGTATATACGCGCGATACACGTATTTCCCTGTGCACAGCGACTTACGTTGATTTTCCCTACGTTCTACGGTGAGTGATTTCTATTAGGTCCCAGGGTACATGTACACCACTCCGTGGGTCCGTCGTCCTCGGGGATTCGCCGAAGACAGAGTTCACTTCACAGAAAAAAAAAAAAAAACGGAGTATGCAGTAGACGAACTGAACTTCACGCGCGCGGATATTAACACCAGTATATATAGGCTCGGCCCGCGATTAGCGACAGCCGCGCGAGCGCGCACACCGGTGAGCAGGCCGGAAAAGAAAAGAGGAAGGAAGAACGCGCGAGATACACGTCCGGTGTATCAAACCGCGCGGATTCGCGCGTGCGGAGAAGAATGGCAAGGAAGAGAAAGAGAGAACGTCGAGGTAAAAAGATCTGGGAATCTGTCCTCAGGGTCACGGAGCTCCTTCCCTCCGGCCCGCCGCTACGAGACTGAAGTGCCGGATTCTCTCTCTCTTGGCGCGGCGCGGCCCAGGTGAACGGCGCCGTTTACCTGAGAAAGAGTCTCTCTCTGCCTTCCTCTCGCCGCCCTGCGCGCCCCTGCAGCGGCGGCCGAACGCGGGAGAGAGAAAGAGAGAGAGAAAAAGAGAGAGAGAGAGAAGGAGAAAAGGAGGCACAGCCGTGAACGTAGGCGCAGGAAAGGTGGAGGAGACACTCCGAGCCGAGCCGAGCCGAGGCAGCGACGACGCCGCGCCGCGCCGGGAGAAGGCCGAGAGCGGAGGCATCGCGCTCTTGTTCGCTGGCACAGGCAGCGTCCGCGGGGGTAGCTCCTCTGTACGGTACATTTAAATACCTGTCACGTGGCGGCCGGATTGCTGCAAAATGACGTCAGGACGTGAGCGTGACTCGCGGACCGCGGAGAGGAGAAACGGCGAATATTTTCGCCTCACATTTTCGCCCGGGAGTCCAGGGCGACCGTATAATATGGCGGCCTTCGGGCGTGCAGAGGCCGAAGAAGCAAGCCTTTTCGGAGCTCCGAAAATCGCCGTCGTTCCATTGCCCAAAATTATATACTTGGCTTGGCGATCTTCTACCTTTGATTTCATAAAGGAAATGAAAGCTATATAAAAAAAGTTGTCTGTATATCGTTGCTATATTTTGCAATGAAACGTGTGAGAGGAAATAACCGAGTACCAGGAAAATAAATTGTATGCTACATAAGTATTTATATTAAATGTGAATTTTCAGTAAAAATTCAGCAGAGATGTTTTGCTAACGAGTTACTTTGCCATAATATTGTCAAACACTTGTTGCGCCAATCGGAAATAGCATCCCAGTTTGAAACCGGTTTGGTACGAGTTTGCGTGGATGTTTCATTGAGGGATAATATCTTATTCTAGTGAATGTTTTCTCTGCGCGCGTACCGATTCTAATCCCGTACGGCAGGCAATCGAAGGAATGGCCTTTCTATTCGAGAAAACGGCCGTGAACGTAGCGCGATGGCGGAGTAGCCGGTGGAACTTGGGATTTGACCGCTGCGTGCTGTGCCGCGGAGGTTCGCACTATTACCGAGAGTAGGTATGCGCCTTCAAAATCATAGCTGACAGTCAAAGAAATATCGTAAAAGAGCCACGAGTTTATGGCACATTTTTTTTGTTTACAATATAACCATTGTTTGCTTGTAAAAGTCTGTTTGTAACCTTAATCGATCCTACTACTGTTTCTTTAAACATTGTAAACTTTTTATTGTAGCAATAGAAAACTTCTATTCTTTTCGACAATCTGCCATTAAGTTCATGGAAGAATTAGTAAGAATATTATTTATTGCGACAACAAGAAATTTGACAGAAAGAAAAACAGAGAGAGATATTTTTACAATTTTCACAATTCTATATAGCTTCATCGATTTTACTGTTTTACAAGAATTGTAAACTTTTTATTATTTAACCAGTGAACTTCTTTTTTTAAAATAAGGTTTAATGAATTTTTCATTAAATTCACGAAAGAATTAGTACTTAATATCTATAACGGTAGCAAGAAATGATGGAAAAGATCGATCGGAAAACTGCATCGCAAGTAAAACGGGTTTTTACAATTCTAAGAGAGACTCTTGGGAGAGCCACTTTTGTGCGGCTTTTTCCTCTTCTTCTTCTTTTTATATTTTAGCAATAGTTTCTTTTCAATTCACCGAGGTGACGCGAATCGTAAAATACGTCCGGAAATAGCGATAGCCGAGTGCGCGACTCCGGCACGCTAACGGGTTAAGTAGGCGTGCGGATTGCAGCAAGTAGGTGTTTCGCGAAAAGAGACATCGATGCTCGCGCAGGAAAGGTCGTCGAGCCAGATCGGCGCGGAGTCACGCCACGCGGGTACGACGACCGCGCGCGCGGACCGGCAGCGCGCGGCGGCGGCGGCGCGGTGGCGGCGGCGCGGATTTCTTTTTCTTGCGCACCTGAATGAAAGTTGTAATTGAGCGAGAACCTGCGGTGTGTGGACGTTGCACACGAGCCGCCGCCGACCGGCCGGCTGATGGTTATCCACGTTCAACGTACTCGCGCGCGTTTACGCGCGTCGATAATTCGGATTAGAGATCCGCTCTTTATAGACCTTATAGCGATAGAAATCATCATGGGAGATCATCATCGCGATCCGCGTCATTTATCACCGCCGCGCTGCAGGAAGAAGCTCGACCACGCGACGCGACGGCGTGAAGCAGTTCACGTTCGACTTTGAAGCGCGACCAAGACCGGATTTTACGCGTGAAAAAGAAAGAGACTTCGTTTCCGTTTACCTCATTTTGCTTATTATTAATTGCAAGTTTCACACTGCAGAAAGGATATCGAAATAAAAATTACCCGCTTCTGGGCAAAAGTGAAATCTTTCAAGTGGTACATATATGTATAATATTTCATTTAATTCACCGCGCGAGAAGAGAATCGCCTGCACGATAATAAAAGTATATATATATATATAGGCGCATACGTCTGGTATATCTTCTCCTCGAGGATATACGGAGATCGCCTAATTGCCTCCGTCGAGGTTCAGGTGTCGCCTTTTTCCTCCCGCTCGTTCTAATTGCCACGGACGTAACACTTTTTGCCAAGCGTGACTGCGGGCGCCGGAGTTACGCAAGAGGAGCGCGCGCATCGCCGCCGCTATCAACGCCGAGGATCCGTCGCGATTATTTTTCTTAATTAAACGCCCCTCCTGCTCCCCCTGAAACGCGAAGAGAGCGCGTCGAAGACGACGACGGCGGGGGGGGTGACAATCGAGCGAAAAAGTCGGACGAACAGTTTCGCGATAGAGGAAAGAAAAAAAGAAGAAAAGGAAGACAAGTACGGCACGTAAAGCCCACTCCGTTAGCGTTTTATCGGGTCTGCTGCACTTCGAGGCGTTCAACCCGGCAACTCGCCGCCGCGCCGCGCCGCGCCGGCCGCTGCCGCGGGCGCACGCGAGCGAGTCCCTGCGCGCTGCGCCGCGCGCGGCATGTTTATAAATAAAACGGAACCCATCGTCCTTAAGTTGCTTACCAAGCCAGAAAACGCAATCAGAGGGGTTGCTGCGTGGCGGCCTGCACGCAGACCGCCGCGCCGTCAGTTCGGTTTCGATCGGCAATAATATATATGCTCGATCATTATTTGCTCGAGCGTTTTCGATTCTTCTGCGAATCTGTTTATCCATTCTGTTGACTCGCTAGATCGACGTGTATGAAAGGCTCTTTGATAGATTGCGATAGAAGCCAAGCACTTGACGCATGTTTATTACGCGAAATGTATGATAAATTTTTATATGGAAATTATTTGCACGGAAATTATATTGCAATCTGTTTAAAAGTTTAAAAGTATTGCAAAGCGATGTTGATGTTGATCAATTGCAACTACTGTTGCGCTGTGGTGCTGAATCCGAGGAAATCATTATCGCGCTGCAATTTCACTTTCCGTAGAAATACATATATCTCGCGAAGCTGCATGGATGCGGATGTATGTACTTAACTCATAGAACTATGATCGATATAGGAAGTGTTTTATATATAGTTTCAAACAGCCTCTTTTTTAGAGATTAAGAAGAAATAATTTCTTTTATTTCGGAGGTAAAAAATAGGTTTTTACAGAGAAGTTGTTTTATTTAATCACAATTTTGAAAAAAAGATATAGAATTACATTTTTTTATTTCTATCGTTAAAACGTTTAATATATCTATGTTAGTTTGATGTCTTTCGTTTAACTTTAAATATTGAGACAGAAGAACAAAAACAATTGAATTCAAACAAAATTGCCTGCTTTGAATTTGATTTCTGTTCGACATCTCTGGTATTTAATAATCTGATCTAATAAGTAAGCGTATCCATAATCATCGCCATTTAATCAATGTATTGTATTTTGATTGTTTCCAATTGTCTTTACACAGAAATCTTTTGAATGAATTTAAAAACTGAATTCTAGAACAATAATATGACAAATATCCAAAGAAACTTTTAGAACCAGAATAAAAAAGCTTACAGGTTTTATGATTTTTACACAAAGAGTTTTGAATCTTCTTCGATAATTCCGAGAGATTAATCACTAAAAGGATGTACAGTGATTGCTAATTATGGCAACACAATTATTACTAGCATTGCTAATGTATATTGCTCTCGTATTGTCAGTAATATTGCCATCTCATGTACTGCCACCTGTTGCGCACAATATGCCAATGTATTGCTATGTATTGCTACAGTCAGGGTTGGGCAAAATACATTAAAGTATTTTGTATTTAAAATACAAAATACAAAATACTGGCAATCTTAGTATTTGAATTACAAAATATAAAATACTTTCAATCTTTTGCTTTGAAATAAAAAATACAAAATACTTTCAAACTTTCAATTTGAAATACAAAACACTTTTAAGTTTTTATTTGAAATACAAAATACTTTTTAATTTAATCTTTCAATTACAATAATATATAATGTTAAGCTCTCCCCCCTACAACAGTCCCCTCTCCACGTTTAGAGAGAGAAAGAAAAGTTGTTTTACTCTCTTACACTCTTTAACGGTTCTATTATCCTGTATCAACCGCACGAGGAATCTATTTACTATAATGTGAGATTATGAAATTTGACTCTGATTATTTGATATTGGCTGAAACTTGACGAAAATAATTAGCGTCGCTAATTGTCATATGAGAAAAATTTAAGTTACTATTAATTAATTGTCAAGAATTTTTTTCAATAATTTTTCTAGTATTTCAAATACAAAATAGATTGAAATTGTATTTGAAATACAAAATACATTGAATAACTTTTTTGAAAACGAAATACAAATTAATTTTATGCGCTCCGCTGAAATACAAAAAACAAAATACAAATTGTATT